TCGATTTTTAGGTGAGAAAATAGGTGATTTTCATTTCACTTGCGTTTGTCCCTATCTTTTTGTCCACTACTGTATGTAGTTATATTTTACACCTAAATTTCTTAAAAAGTTAAAAAAAATTTTTTTGTAAAAATTTTTAATAAAAATTTGTTTAATTTTTGCTTGAAATTACATTTTCAATATTGGGCAAAAATTTAAAAAATTTTTGTTTATTAGAACCTTAAGGAATAAAAAAATTTTAGGTGGGGTTATAGTTTTGTTACACACTGTAATATTCTAAAATAATTTTTAAAAAATTTTCCTGAATGTTTCCGTTTAATTTTAAAATAATTAAAGGCTTATAATTTCTCGTATTTATATACGCCTTGTATATTAATTAATTAAAATTACAAATATTTTACCGTAATATTTTAATTAAACAAATTTGTGTGAATTAAACTTTAACTGGTATACACAAAATAAGAATTTTTTTTAAAAATATTTTTATACTTTTATTAAAAATTGAGTAAACAATAATTTTTGTAGTGGACTAATAAGCTTGTTTAAAAAAAATTTTTTTTTCGCACGTTATGAAACCAGGTAATAAATTTGCCTTTATTTTAATTAAACATTTCTAATATTTTAATTTTTGTATTTTTTAATTGAAAAAGGGAAGATATTTTATTTTAAATATTTTAAAGAAAAATTATTAAATTTAAAATTAGGTACATAAATTTAGATTATTTGAATTTGATTTATTAAAAAATTATATAAAATTAAATTAATTTAATTTTTATAATTTAATTTGTAAAGTTCTGAGTTAGTTCGATAATTTAATTTATGTTACAAAAAAGTTAAAAATGGAAAAAAAATTATCTCAATTCTATGAAAATTGTCTCTCTTTAGAGTCTATGAAAATTAATAAATCCAAGGAATTCAGGGAATTATTGAAAAATGTGATGGTACATATTAACAGATTTGCTAGCGATTTGCTCAATAAATAAATAAATTTTACAATCAACATGATAGATTGTTTGATAAATATTTAATAGAGGGCTATTGTATTAGATGGGGTCCTGAGGGGCAAATTTAAATAAATTTAATAAACATTAATTTAATCTGAAAAATTAATTTATTGCAAATTATAAAGTCAAAGTGATTTTTGTAACAATAAATGATTAAATTGTCATCCAAAAAATTGTCAAAATTTCTTTAGGATAAATAGAATCTCTTATTTTTTAAACTTTTATCCATCTGTTGTTTTAATATAAATATTATCTGGCTACTTAAGTTTTATTCTTTCAAGTTTGTTATTTTACTGATATTTCTAATAAAATTTCCGGAAAATTATAAATTCCGGAAAGTTTTTATTTTATTACTCTAATTTATATAGTCACCTTCAATATATTCCTTCAAGTTTGTTATTATTATTTTACTGATGTTTATAATAAAATTTCCGGAAAAGAAATACACATTCCGGAAAGTTTTTAGTTTATTACTCTAATTATTAATATACTCCCAATATATTCCGGAAAGTTTATTTATTTAATCTAGATATTAATAAATAAACAAATAAGAAACTTGTTTCTTTGTTTGTATTTCTTTTATATTTTATTTGTGTTTTTCTCCTTTTATTTTACTTAAGTTTACATATTACTACCAGATTTTCTTCCATCATTTATCCTCTAATAAATAGTGAATATCCACAAATCTTATACAAAAAATGTTTTCTGACCATTTAATTAAAATTTTTTGTGTTTTATTAATTATTTTATCGTTATATAATTCTTCCGGGGAAAAACAAAGTAGAATTACCGAAAATAAAAAACAACGGCAAAAACAACAACGTTTTGAGCTGAACGAGACGACGCCTCCTTCAGGGTTTTTAAATTTAAATTATTTAAAAAATATTTTTTAAATTGAAGTTGGCCAAAAATACCGTCAAAAAATGGAAAAATGAGGGCCCCGGTTAGACCAGTAAAAGAAATGACGCCGATAGCAAAATGGTATCAGAAAGCTTATGCAGACGAACGTCAACGATTAAGACAAAAGGCTACGACTAAAGTGAAAACAAATAATAATTATTTGAGTTGAAGAAAGAGAAGGGATGTTTGATAAGAAAGAAAAAATTTAATTTTGAATGAAATTTTTATAAATTTTTTTTAAATTTATTTTTCTTTAATTTTTGTACTAAATTAGCTTATAATCAAGTGTGTGTTAGTGATGTTCGGGTATCCCGACTCCCGATACCCGACTCGGGAAATTTCCCGAGTTTTTGGCCTCCCGATCCCGACCCCGACTCCCGATGTCAATTCCCGACTAAGTCGGGAAATTTTTACACCCCTAAGAATGGCTTTTTCTGATAAAATTTTATTTTTGAAAAGAAAAAATAAAGGGAAAAAAATAAAAAAGGGAAAGGGAAAATATAATATTAATTTTTTTCCCAGTTAGCTATTGTGTAGTAGGTGGTTGAGTGGTTAAGTTAAGTGACAAGAGCTAATTTGATGGGGCTGGGTTCAATTCAGTGTTGTGAAATGTATGTGAATAATTTTTCCTTCCAAAAATAAATGGTTTTTAACATTCATTTTGATTTTAAAATTTTAAAATTATTTTTTTCAATATTAAAACGTCAAGAAACTAAAGAAAAATTAATTTATTTTAAATAGTTAATTTAAATTAATTAATTTAAAATTTAAAAGTTATTTTTTTAATTTCAGTAAACGTAAAAAAACTCTAGAAAAATTAATTTAGTCATGAATTTTCAAAATTTTCGCCTGCGGCGCAGAAAATGAAGAATATCTGGATTCATTGCCTCAAACTTAAAAAAAGTCGAGGGAGGAAAAAGGGCTCATTGGCTTTCCAATTCTCAAAATTTTTGAGATTTGTTTGCATTTCTTTGCCTGCGGCGCAGACAAAGAATTTGAGATTAAGAGGGATTCAAAAGATTAAAAGGTGAAAAGTCCGATGGAATAGGTGAAAAGTTCCCTGGAATAGTTTGGTTTTCGGATAAGCGGTGAAAAGTTCGATGGAATAGGTCGATCAAGCCCCCCCCTCCCCAGCCACGAAATTGGCGAAAGGCAGAGGGGAAGGAATATGGAGATCGGAAAAGTGAATTTTTTCATCTACGACCTCCAAGTTCTCAAATTTTTGCCTGCGGCGCTGAAAATGGAAGATATCTGGCTTCTTCACTTTACAAATTTCACAAAATTTTTGCCTGCAGTACAAAAAAACGGAATTTTTGGTGCCGAAGGCGCCAAAATTTTTTTATGTGAATTCCCGACTCCCGATCCCGACTCCCGAGGTCAATTCCCGACCCGACTCCCGTTTCCCGATTCCCGGGTTTTTTCTTCTCCCGAACATCACTAGTGTGTGTGGCATTAAAAAATAAATATTCTTTAAAAGAAAGAATAAAAAAAATATTAAATCCAATTATAAACAGGATTATAGTAAATAAGCAAAAAATAAATAAAAATTGATACGATGACACGATAAAAATTTTTTATAAACTTTTTACCTAATTTATTGCAGATTTTATAGTAGTATGGTTGATTTAACACCTTAAAGTAATTTATGAGGAAGTGTTCATTATTGTTGTGTTGCGCAATAAATAAATAATTTATAGAAACACTGTTTGGAAGAAATGTTTTTCCGGAAAAGTTTATTTAAAATAATATTTTCCGGAAAACATTTTGTTTTTGTTGTTTTGGAAATAATATAAAATTCCGGAAAACATTTTACAAACTTTTCCGGAAATGTTTTTATAAAAACATTGTTTGGAGGAAATGTTTTTCCGGAAAAGTTTATTTAAAATATTTTCCGGAAAACATTTTGTTTTTGTTGTTTTGGAAATAATATAAAATTCCGGAAAACATTTTACAAACTTTCCGGAAATGTTTTTATAAAAACATTGTTTTTATTAATAACAACATCACAATAAAAGTGCTTGTTTTATTTTTAAACATTTACACCATGTAATTGTTGTTAATTTAAATTTTTCAACATTCAAAAGGGAAACAATGTTCAGTAGAAAAATTTATTTTTAAAAATTTGCCTCAATTTCCATTTTTTTGCTTATTTTCGGTCAATCTGCGCGCTTTCACTCGAATGAACTTTTTTATTATTAGTTCTATTTACTTCCCAAAACCCGTTTTATAACATGCTCTAAAATTGCATCATGACTTTGTTTTTTTTATTTTCATAATTTTATTTTTTTTTATTTTATAAAATTACAAGGGTTGTTTACTTGTTAAATCAAATTGTTATTTTTTGTTAAAAATTAAAAGAAAAAAATAAATTAAAGGAAAAAATTTATTTCGACGTCACATAGAATAATTGTTTTTAACACGCTCATTTAATTTAAAATTTGAATTAAAATTAAAATTTAATATTTAATGTAAATAAATGAATAAAAAATATATTTTATTATTTGCCATTGTACTAACAAATACTAAATGTATTTATTCATCAGACTTTCTAAAAGATTGTCAGGCAAATGAACAATATATTGAATGTGGTGGGTGTGAGGGAACGTGTAAAGAGCCTGTAGTGGTAGGTTTCCGGAAAATAATATTAAAATAATACCTTTCCGGAAAATAGAATATTATAAAAATAAGACTTCCGGAAATGCAAAAATGATTACTATAATATTTCCGGAAATCTATATGTATATTTCAAAAATATAAAATAAAATATTTCTTTTATATTAATTAACAATAACAATAATTTTTAAATGTTTTCTGAAAAATATTTTATTTTAAATTTTCAAGCTCAAATGCAGTAAAGAATGTAAACCAGCACGTTGTGAGTGTCAGACAAAGAAAGGATTTGTTCGGGCACATGATGGAGGCAAATTTTTAAATAAAAATTTTTGATTAAAATTATTAAAAAATAGCCTGTATATCAGCAAATGAATGTGCAACATATAAAGGAGTATATTTTGGAGATGGAGGTATACTCCTCTCAGAGAATGGTGAAAAAATTTTTGAAAAATTTAGAAAATAGTTTATTTGATAGGAGTTGTTATGAAAAATGCTCCAAAGACAGTACTAAACCACGTCCGCTATGTTGGAGGGGGTGCTGGTTTCAGCATTCCTTCTTCTGGAACTGCAGCAAAACCCCAAGGCGGGAATACTGGAGGAATTGGACTTGGTAAATTTGGAAGTGGGAATAAAGTAGGGTTGGGAGCATTACAAGAAAGAAATCGTCTATTTGGAGAGGGAGGAGAGGAAGAAACTGGAGGAGGAGGAGAAGTTCGAGGAAGGATGGGAAGTACTATCAGTGGAGAAACACAGCTAATCAAGTCTCATGGTTAGAAAATATTCTATTAATATTGAATTTACAAAAGAATTTTTTAAAAACCAAGTACCTTCATACAACCCTCAATCCCCATCGAATCTTGGTAACAACAATTTTATCACAACAACGTCACACAACACACAAAATAAAGCGGGACCTTATGATGATGAGACTAATTCGTTTCGCTCTTCAAAGCTTAAAGATCAAGTGGTAATTGGAAATAATTTTTTTATTCAATTCTTAAATGCTAAAAAAATTCAAATTTTCTTAAAAAATCCAGAAACATTTTTAAATTATTTAAAAAAACAGATACCTCAACATCACGACGATATACCTCCAGCAATTAAAGGACATTTCAAACAACATCAAACACTCAGCAATAAACCCTCCCATATGAACCTCTTTTCCGACTTGGCAGAAACAAAATTTGGATCTGAACGTTTAGGAGAGGAAGGAGGAGGTTTAAAATTAATAAAAAAAATTTTGTTTCAATTTTTTCTCCTCTTTTTAAAGGAACAAACAAATTATCTCGTCCATTACACCCAACACTTTTAAGAAATAAATTTCCAAATAATCAACACAAACATTCATTTCCTCATTCATTACCCCATGTTGGGCATTCATTAGTGCCTGTAGCAGCAGCACAAAGCATTATTGTTGTGAATAAAAAAAGTGGGTTGCCAGACAGGAGTACGGCGAAGTGTGGACGTAAATGTAACCCTGAGCAGTTGCCTCCAAGTGGTAATAATTAAATTGAAATTATGATCGAGCCTCGTTCATAGACACAGCTTGAGAAACTTTGTTTTATAATGGGAGGCACCTTAATGAGTGTACCTTTTAGACAGCTCTCCCCACCTTGTAGTCCCCAACTTTAAAAAATGAATTTTTAACTAGGGGTATTTAAATCTAAAAGTGAAGAAAAACTATAATAAAATCTTCTTTACACATCTATTATTAGAGGCACAACGTCTCGCACGTATGCGACATCTGAGAACAAGAAGGTATATAACTTTTTAACTTAACTAAGTTGAATTAGAGTCTTTAAATTTTGAAGGCCATTTACTTTTAACCAAAAAGTCCGTTACTTAAACGATTTATTTAGTCAACCATATCTCTATGCCTATATGAATCCCCCAGCTAACGAAGTAGCAAAGGCTAATGCAAAAATAAAAAGAAGGGATTCAAGGTCAACAAAACCCTCAAGACATCAAATAAATATTAAAAAACTAACAAAGGAAAATGAAATTGGGGAAGGCTATGACACTCTAAAATTAAAGAGAAGCAATGCAATGTCACCACAAAAACGTGCCAGAGCAAGCCCTATACGTCGAGTGATAGGTAAAAAGCAAAGAATTGTACCTCTACATTCTGGAGGTTATGACGGTGATGGTGAGGGATTTCTTCAGTTATTTTTTAAATTTTCTATTCTTTTAGTACCTAAATTTAGAATAAGAGTAGATGATAATACAAGTATTGGTAAAAATCAGAAAAAGAATATTCGGCTAACAAATAAGGAAAGAATGAGAAAATATGTGAAGAAGAAGAAAACGTTAAATAATACTAGCTTTTATTAAACTTTTAATTTTACAAAAAAATTTTTTAAGGGTTGTAAGGCTTGTTTCATAATTTTCAAATCTTTTCCTTTTTTTACTTTTCTAATAAATTTATTTTACAAATTTTATACAAGTTTGTAGCACATACTTTGCAAATTAAGAGTATCCTCCTCCCCTTCCCCTCCCTCGAAACCGATCCTCAAAAAAATAAAATTAACTACAAAAAGTAAATAAAATAGTGGTAGCCATTCCTTCACTAATATAGCAGTAATATATTTTGAGTTGAAAATTTGGCCAAAAAATTTCTCAACACAGATTTTGGCTATCCCAATTTAGAGAGAAAATGTTCCCACAGCTGCTCCCTATATATTTTTATTGCCCAAAAGGATTTTTTATATTTCTTTATTTATTTTTACAAAATACCAAAAATTGAGTATCTTTATTTAAAATTATTTTTAAATTATGAATGATTCGTGTTATTATCATGAGCCTAAAGTTCATGATTATGAATTGTATTACCTACTGTCTAGGTTTGTTTAAATATTATTTCTTTTCCGGAATGAATAATTGTAATAAAACTTTCCGGAATGTAACCAGAGTTATATTTACTAATTATTCAGGAAATATAACTTTCCGGAAGTATTTATAACTGTCCGGAATAAAATGAATTTTTAATTGAATAATTCTTTCCGGAATAAATTTAAATGAAATAAAACTTTCCGGAAAGGTAGAGCATTATTTTTATTTAATTCCTTCCGGAATGAATATAACTCTAGAATAATTAGTATAATTTTTCCGGAATAGATTTATTTACGTTAACGGAATTAAACTTTCGGAATTTTATAAAGTTTATTTTTCTAGTATTAATATCTACCTTCTTTTACCTCTCTCACTTGTTGGCCTCTTTGCTAATGGCTCAGCATTATTTTGCCTGTGTTCGCCCCCTAAAATCGTTTCCGGTGTTCTAGTTTACCTTAAAGCTTTGCTTATTCTTGATCATGTCTACATTATTGTTTCTTTGGCAAATAGTATGTTTCCTGATTTTTGTGATGGACAGCATTCTGTTGAGAATACTTTTTACAAGTATTTTATTCAAAGTTTAATATTGCTTTCTCTCCCTATTTATAGTTTTTGTTTATTTGAGGGACGCTTTCTGCGCAATATTATTCCAAGAATTTACCAAACTGTAGTTATGTTACATATTTGGTATTGAATACATAATAGAGCCCAAAAAATAATTTTTTTGGATTTAGGACAATTGCAGCGTTGTCAGCTCACCGTTACTGGAAAGTGTGAAGAAAAAATATTTTCAATAAAAAATATCTAAATTTTTTTATTAGATTTCTCGTCCAGTATCCGCTCGTTCAAACGACACAATTTTTAGAGCAAGAGTCTTGCTAGCGATTTTGTTTTTAATAATTGTTGTCTACCGGGTTCCATCATTCGTAGTTGAATTGCAATGGAAATGGAATCCTATTGTACGAATACAAAAAAGGCCTGAAAAAACTGAGGTATCAGAGTATTAAGAGTTTGATTAGTTTCGAAATTATTTACAAATTGTAATATAAATTCGGGAATTACCTATTACAAATTTTAATATTAGTTAAAAAATATAATATTTAGAACATTTAATCTTATTTTCAGGAAATCTTTACATATTGTAATAAATATATATGATTATTTCCGGTAATCAAATTTGTAACATCATTTCCGGAAATATTTACATAGATGTTGTATAATATCATTACAAAAAATCCTTAACAAATTACAAACTTAAAATTCTTACTAAAATTTCTTCAAATATATGTACGTATTAATTCCAATTAAAATTGCAGACACTGTCACCGTACAGAATAATTTTCTATTCTATTCTTGATCCAATTTTATCACATTTTCTACCTTTTGGTCAAATGTTTATATTTTCTGTTCTTACACTTTTTGAAATTATGAAGCGTCAACGACGGCAAAGATTATCTCTTTCTTCGCAAGTAGGATTGTGTAAACTGCGAAGACAGTCTTCTGAATCGTCCCAAAAAATAAAAGCAAACAATTGCAGCAATCAAGGCTTTAAGAATATAGAGGGGAATTGTATTGCTGGGCGACAGAAACAAGGTAGTAATTATTAGAGTTTCACCGGAAGTTCCGGTTCCGGTTCCGGTGAAACAATCATACTTCCTTCAAGAAAATAAAGTAAAATTATTTCCGGAAAGTTTAACTATTAGTAAATTAATTTCCAAAAATAATTTCAAATTTAATTTGGTTTCCGGAAAGGTTTACAAACATTGAGAGTTATAACTTTGGGAGTTTTACAAATTGTAATAATATTTCCGGAAAAGTTTTACAATTTGTAAAATTATTTCCGGAAATAATTTTAAAATTGTAATTATTTCTAGAAAGGTTTTACAATTTGTAAATTATTCCCGGAAAAGTTTTACAAATTGTAATATTATTTCCGGAAAAGTTTTACAATTTGTAATATTATTTTCGAAAAAGTTTTACAAATTGTAATTATTTCTAGAAAGGTTTTACAATTTGTAAAATTATTTCCGGAAATATTTACAAATTGTAATATTATTCCCATTAAGTTTTAATAATTCCCTTTAAGTTTAATTATACAGTAATTATGTAATTGTAAATTTGTAAAACTTTAATTTAAAGAATATCGTGCTACAATATCTATTGTACTCATGATAGTTATATATCTTTTACTTCATTCAATGAGCCTTTACAATTTGGGAAGGAAATGGGAATTAATTATTAAACATAAATGTCCAACCAAAACCGACTATATTCGTTCACATATCGGGAATGTTTTAAATGTACTTTCTGCTTCCGTAAATGCTTTTGTGTTTATAGCTTTTACAAATAGAATGAGAGGTTTTTGAGAGAAATTAAATTTAAAAAATTAAAATTTTTTTTAGATTATATTCGGGCTTTAATAAGAAAAACGTCGCGAACATTTTCATCAAATTTTGGAAGTAATGAGCAACCACAAAATGCAAGAATTTTAGGGAATAGAGCCTCACTTATTTAATTATTTTATTCGACAAAAATAATTTTTTAAAATAAATTACATAAAAAATATAATTTTTTTTTAATTTGAAAATCTGAAAAAATTAATTTTTCAAAAAAACCTTTTTAAATTCAAACGAGAAAAATTAAATGAATCATTTTAAGTATTTTAAAATAATTTTAAAAGAATTCTGCTTCAATTAATTTATTATTTATTTTTTAAAAAGAACTTTTTCAAAGTAGAAAATAAACTTTTCATAATAAATTATCAAGTGAGTTAGAAAAATACAAACCGGAAATGTTTGAATAAAACCGGAAAAACACATTAAATAAACTTGTTTTTAAGCAAAACATTTTTTTCTAAATAAACTTTATTAAGTGAAAATTAGAAATTACAATCCGGAAAAGGTTTGTAAAACTTATTTAGCTAGCCGGAAAATTTGTTTAGCTTTTTTTTAAAAACCGGAAAGGTTGAATAAAATTCTATAATATTACCTCATATTTAAATAAACTTATTTTACAAAACAAAGTTTTATTTTCTTTTTTCTCTAAAAATTTATTTAATAAGCACCCAAACCGCAATTATACATATATTTGTGTTTTACTCAATTGCTATTAATCAAAAGGGGGTGTTTTTTTATTTATTTATAAATTTGTGTATTTCTTCACCCAGCGCTCAAATTGATCGGAGGACAGAGTTTATTCAAGTATTTTTGCACTTTTCTATTTGCACTTTTGTACTTTTTATTTTCTTTTTAAATTAATTATTTGCCCTAATTTTCTTTTAAAAATGATTTATTACTTTAAATTTATTTTAAAAATATTTTTGTTGAATTTAAAGTGAGTATCCTTCTTTACACCTTGGCTGAGTATCTGCCCCTAACTTCTTTTATTTTTAAATATTCCCTAATAAGTTTTATATCATTTTAAAACTCTAAATGTACTGATTATTTCTCTAAACAGAATCAAATTGATCATTAAAAAAAGTTATAGACCAATAAACGAGGAAATTGTGATTTTTCCTACATACTTCCTCTAATTAGAACCTGGGGTTATTACTATTAAGTGTAGGGTATTCAACTTGAGAAGCAACTCGTTTATAAATTTTAAATTAAATTTTAAATCTTTTACTACTTTTAGTGTCAAGAGCTTTAGAATGATATAAAATTAATACAAAATATTTTTAACTAAAAGATATATAAATCAAAACAATGCTGACGTCACATACCTAAACAAATAATTTTAAATTTTTAAATTATTTAATCAAATTAATTTTAAACTCATTTACTTATTATTTTACTTTTCTTCGTCAAATTGTTGACACCTTCTTGTCTAAACTTTTTTTAATTTTTATTAACAGTTTTAAATAAATAATAAAAATTTAATCTCCTCTTCATTATTTAATCGAGAATTAATTTAAAAAATGAAAAAAATTTTTTAATCAAATGATTTAAACTTTAAAACAAATATAAAATTAGGTGGGCCATTAAATAATAGGTAAACTGATCTAGACTAAATTAATTATTTTTATTTTTAATCAATCATCTTTTTTATTAAAATTTTAATAGTATAATTAAATTAAATTTTAGACGATGTTTTGATTGGAGTCGGTTACCTAATTTACTTTTTGTAAAATAAATTTTCTTCAATTCTTTTTGACATTATTTAAATAGAAAATTAAATTAGCTACAAAATAAATATTAAATGAGAAATTTTGGATTAATTAACAAAAAATTTTTAAAGTAAAAACCAGCGTTTACCTAACAATTTTTGATTAAAGATGGGTACAATCAGACTTGGTAATTGACATGGATTTTGGAATCCGTATCCCGATATTTATGGTGGATGCAAACGGATATCTGCAGGCATTTTGAACTTATCTGTATCCACTTCCGTATCCATTATCAAGCCTGGGTACATTCGAATAAAGGACCTAAAAGTTGAATTCGAAGTTCATCCGATCTCGACCGTTAAAGCCTTGATTTTCTTAAATTCTATATTGTCCTCTCTTTAATAATTAAATAATCACTTCCTTAAAATATTCAAGACATGTAATCTTTTTATAAAAAAATTTTTTTTAATTTAAAATTCATTAAAAGAAATTTCAAAAATAATAAAGGCAAAAAACCAATTTTTTGCCTTTATTATTTATTTATTTTTCCCCTTCGTTCCGCCATTCTTTAATAAAATATAAAATATTTTTCTTCCCCCCAATTCATTATTCATCCCCTCATTTTATTTATTTCTTCTTCATATTTGACAATCGCAGCCAATTCGCAGTCACACAGCCCCCCTTATTTAATATAAAAATTTTTTTTGTATTATTCCCCCATATATTTCCAACTTGGCAAAAAAGCATAATTGATATAAAACATGTCAAAAATTAAAAATCAGAATTTTAAATTAAAATATCAGAATTTTTAGAATTTTAATTAGGGTGAATACATATAAAGTTAGAATTTTAAAGAATAATTACAATTGTTTATTTTAAAATCAGAATTTTAATTTATTAAATCAGAATTTAAGAATTTTAGTTAGAGAAATCAGAATTTTATTTCAAAACCAGAATTTTTTAAAAATCAGAATTTTTTAAAATACACGAATCAAATCAAAATTTGATTTAATAATTAAAAATCTGATTTTTCAAATAAAAATTCTGATTTTTCCAATAAAATTCTGATTTTTCCAATTAAAGTTCTGATTTTTAATTTCTGATTTAATTTGTGTATTTTAAAAAATTATGGTTTTGAAATAAAATTCTGATTTCCCTAACTTCTAATTAGTATCTTAAATTCTGATTTAATAATTAAAATTCTGATTTTTCCAATTTACCTAAATTCTGATTTTTAATTTACAATTGTAATTATTCTCAAAACTTGAAGTTGCAACTTTCTTTTATTAAATTATGAAACTTATTTATTACAAACAATTTCTTTCACGAATTTTTATTTATTTTGTTAACGTACTCTTTGCCTCTCTAAAATGTATTTCATCAAAATCATCTTTCCACTCAACGGAAATTCAATTTTTATTCGACGTTATTACCAAACAGCCTACAAATCTTGTTGTTTTTGTGTTTTTCTTTCTTTTCTCGTGACCGGCATAATTTTTAAAAAATAATTTTTTTGTTTATACATATTTTATATGCCCTCCAATTATTTATTTTTGGTTATTTATATAAATAAAAATACATATTTTAATTTTCTTTTAAAAGTTTATTTTATAATAAAACATTAAGCTCGAAAATAATTAATCGTTTCTTGTCTTTTTCTTTAATTTTTAAAAAATATTTGTAAATTATTTTTCAAAATTTTTTAAATTATTTTTTCAAATTTAAATAAACAATTTAATTATTTATTTTACCCTCTTATAATTTTATTTTTAAAATTTAATTAAGTTTGTGCAAGTCTAGTCAAATGCTTGCCTTTTTATATTTAAGCTCTTTATTTATTATAATTTATTTGTTTTATTTTTATTTAAATTAAAAACAATTAAAATATCAAAATTAACATTTTTAAAGCCTCCTTCATATTCTCCTCTTTTTTAATAAAAATAATTTTTAACTAAAATAATTCCAGCCTTGACATATCGTGAAGGAAATATCGGGATTGCAGTGACAAAAATAACTTCTTGTATTTTACATTTTTCTAAGTAAAACATAAAAATTCTTCTTTAATAGGACAATGTATACTATTCAAGACCCAGTAGCCGTAGGTCCTGAAATTTTTAGTGTAACTCCTAGTACCTTGAAATATCCGCATATTTCTGTCACCCTGAAAAAATGACTTAAAAACGCCAATCTATTTATTTATTTTCTTCTAACTTTTTAAAGGATATTTACCTAAATATTTATTTATGTTTATCCCCTATTTTTCTCTTCTTTTTAGCATTTCCGTTGCAATTTTAAAAGTCAGCAAAAAAAGAATTTATTTACCTAAATTGACGGTCAATGCAAATTTCATTTAAAAATACTCTCTCCTATTTTTTTTACTTTCTTTTTTGAAATGACAAAAATAAAGATCCGATGAGGTCATAAAAATTTCAAAAAAAGGATTTATTTTTACGTTTTTTTTATCAATTTTATTATTTTCCTGTCAAGAAAACCCTTTTTCAATTAGCATTTTTGATTTAATTTTACTTTAAAATTTCTAAATATTTCTAAAAAATTTTTTATTCCTCCTATTTTATAGCTTAGAATCTCACTTTTTAGTAAACAAAAATTCTCATTTTTATCTTGATTAAGAAAAAAAGTTTCGACCTTTAAAGCATTGAAAGACCACCTTCACAAGCAACCAGTCTCCCCATTATTTTCCTTAAATTCCTTAAATCAAAAATATGTTCCCGATCTTTGTTGTGTTAAAAAGTTGCTTCCATTCCACATTTTTATCAAAAAAAAAATAAATTCCTCATTCTATAGAAAAAATTTTCACGAAAAAAGCATTCCTCCCTCACCCCCTACCACCACCAACCCACACACACACATTTACATACTTCCTCTTATCTTTTATTAAATAATTTTTTAAAAAAAATTTCGCAATTTAATTATCCTAGCACGACTTTTTTTTTGTTCTTTTCCTGTTTTGAAATTTTATCAAAAAATAAAATATTTTAATTTTTAATTAATTTTAATCAGTGTTTTTATAATTGGTTTTTGTTTATTTTTAAAGAATTTATTTTTTGTTCCTTTTTTCGATAAATATTTTTAGGAGAAAAATAAATAATTAATAAATTTTGGCTAAAAATTAATTTTTATTATTAAATTAGAAAAAACCGTGATAATATTATAATTAAAATTAAGAAAAATAATAAATAATTAAAGATAAAACTTTAAAAAACAAATTGTAAAATTAATTACAATTTACAAAGGAATTACAAAATTGTAATTTTACAACAGGACTACATTAATAGAAGTACAAATTGTAAATCAAGTTTCAGGGTTTTACCACATAATTACAAATTGTAAAAAAAGTTACAATTTTTACATCAAAATTACAAATTGTAAAGAAGGTTGGGAAAGAAGTACAATTTGTAAAAAGAAAGTTGCAAAATAACTATAAAATTCCAACTTGACTAGAAAAACTACAAATTGTAAAATTAATTATAAAAGAATTACAATTTGTAAAAAAAGTTGTATTTTTGTTTATTTAACGAAAAATGACTGCAGCTACTACAAACATTATTAATAATGAAAATAATTGGCTTAATCCACAAAGCAATAATGTTCATCAACAAATAGTTGATGATAATTATGACAACCAAAATCGGTTTTTAAATAAAACAAATTTTTATTTAATTAATTTTTAAGGACAAGAAAAGTATCTTCAAGTTTATTAGTAATTGTTGAATCACAACAAGATTTGGAACCTGTTGCCCCACCACCTTGTAGAGTATTTAAATTTGATGGCCCTGCAGATGGAGGCGGGGGAAGAAGAATTGTGGATATTGGGATTGATGAAGAGGAATTGGTAAGTGAATGAAGATTTTTTTGAAAAAATGATAATTTTTGTGAGTTTGAGATTTGGGGGGGGGGGGGAAATTACAAAAAAATACAAGAGTTAGAAATTAAATAGAGTTGGGCTTCAATTATGTTTACAGCTTTTTGGCTTAAAAATTGTAAATGAAATGATAATACTTAGATTTGGTTGTATTGCTTAAGGCAGCCCTCTCCTCAAATTACCCAGTGGTCAACCAATTAAAAAAAAGATTATATTTTAAATTGAGTGTACGTAATTTTGTATGTTACCTATACTCAGTAATTTAATAAATTAATAAATTAATAAAATAATTATTAATATTTTAGTATCAATATAAAATTAAAATAATATGATATGTAAATATGTACATATTTAGTCGAGTTTTTTTTATTATTTTTCAAAAATCAATTTTTTTAAATTAAAAATCCATTAAATATTTTAACATAATAATCTTTATTCTTTCTTATCTCTTTTTAATTTATTTTATTATTTTTTTGAAGAATTTATACTTCCAAAAAAAATTATTTTTAAAAATTAGTAATTAAATGTCTGTCTGACGCATATTAAAATTTAAATATATTAAAATAATTAAATTTGTTAAATGGTTTATTAAATACAAATTATGAAGTCATAAAAATGATAAAAATAAATTAAAAATATTAAAATATAAATACATCATTTCCTTAAAAATTTTGGAATTTCTTATTTTTATCAAGAATTTTAGTAAATAAAGCTGGGAATAAAAATTAATAAGGGAAAATACAAAAATCAGAATTAAAATAAACTTTATAAGAAAAATCAGAATAAATAAAATAAGTAAGTAAATTCAGAAATCAGAATTCTTATTTAAAAAATTTCCAAAATAAAGGTTTTTTAATTTAAAAAAATTTTCAAAAATTTAAAAAAAATTCAAAATTTTTTTTAAAGATTTTGTGGTGTCGCAGTTGTATTCGTAAAGAAACAACATTAGAACAATTTGTTTATTTAGACGAAATTGTGGATGTTTTGTTAGGCCAAACATCCCCAGACAAAAACAAAATAACAACAGAAAACGGGGCTTTAGCTTTACAGCAAATGGCTACTGGATTTGCTACAAATACTTCAAACAATGATTTTTGTCAAGGAATGGTAACTGTAATGCATGGGAGAAAATTTGTTAGTCCCTCGTCTTTTGTGTTTCTGGCAAAGTCTGCGGAAACTGCGAGGCTGTGGGTACAGGTAAGGGGTTAATAAATTAATAAGAGAAAATACAAAATCAGAATCTAAATACATCCTATAAATTCAAAAATCAGAGTTTAATAAATTATTCTGAGAAAATACAAAACCAAAATTAAAGGAAATTTTAAGACAGAATTTAAGAAATTAAACATCAAAATTATCTAATCAGAATTTATACATATACATATCTAAAATACAAAACCAGAATTTAGTAAATTGACAGGAGAAAATACAAGAATCAGAATTAAAGGAAAAAAGAAAATACAGAAATCAGAATTTAAGTAAACCTCAGAAAAATACAAAAATCAGAAATAAAACACAATTAATTGTTTATATTTCTAAAGGAATTACGTAAATATGCTTTAAAACACCACCGTTCAGTTCACGATAATTGGTTTTATTGGAGAAAGCTTTTCGCCCCTCTACGTTGCTCCCTCTCAGATGAACAATCCTTTAGTATTGAACAACTTCTACAAATCCTTTTCCCTTCTGATAAACAAAAAGAGGAAAGAAAAATACAAGAGGAAATTTTGGTTAGAAAATTGCCTATTTTAAAGGATAAGGTAAATAAATAAATTTTAGGTATAAATTTTTAAATAAATTTGTAATAAAATAAATAAACACGAAAAATTAGAATTTATAAATAAACTTGAAAAAAAACAGAATTAAGGTTAAAAAAGAAAACAGAAAAATCAGAATTATGAGAAACTTGAAAGAAAGAAATCAAAAACAGAATAAAATACAAAAATACAAAAATCAGAATTAAGAGAAAACTTGAAAGAAAAATCAGAATTTAAGTTTATGAAAAGAAAACACAAAAATCAGAATTTAAGTTTATTAAAAGAAAACACAAAAATCAGAATAAAATCTTTAAAAGATACAAAAATCAGAATTTAATTTTTATTTAATTTTTTCAAGCACCAACGAACTTCCAAACTTTTATTAGACCACTCATTTTTATTAAAACTTTACCAAATTTGTATTAATCGAAGCGACATTGAAGCTATATTTAATCAAAAATTTAATAATTCTTCTTCTATTAACCTTTCACAATTCCACACATTTTTAATTGAAGACCAAAGGGATAAAAGATTAAATGAAATTTTGTATCCTTTAATGTCAACAGATTCTGCTTTAAAAATTGTAAATGAATGTCAATTAACTGATTTGGAAAAATCAGAAAAAGAAGAGGGGAAAGAAGAAGAAAATGTTGGTGGGGGTTGTTTAAATGAGAGTGGATTTATTAGGTTTTTATTGAGTGGATATAATTTACCCATAATGAAGGAATATTATGAGAAAAATGATGATTCGTTAAATAGACCTTTGAGGTAAATAAGGGATTTTTAATTAGAAAACAATTATAATTAAAATTTCTAAAAGTAATGTATTTTTATTATAGGGACGATACACATAAGTAGTAAAGAAAATACTTAAAAATCAGAATAAAAATTATAAGAAAAGAAAATACAAAAATCAGAATTTTTAGTTTCTCTTCAAAAGTTTTACAAATTGTGATTACAAATTGTAATTTTATCTTTCCTTTTTTCGAGTTGGAAAACCAGCTGTTATTAAATAGTTTACCCCTTTCATTGCTAACTAAATTATTTAAATTATTTAATTATTTCAGTCATTATTTTATCAACTCTTCACACAATACTTACCTAAAAGGAAGGCAGATGAAATCCCGTTCTTCAGTTTCTATATATAGATATGCTTTGCTATCGGGTTGCCGTTCGGTGGAGCTTGATTGTTGGGACGGGCCTAATGGGGATCCGATGATTACACATGGACCTACTCATATATGTTTTTGTACAACAATACTTTTTAAGGTATAGAAAGAAGGAATGATTTGTTAATAAATATACTAGTGTTTTTGACATACTGGTGTTTCACGGAACCGAAATTTTGACCGCAACCGGAACAGGATCCAATTTGAGTTCCGGATCCCAGAACCGGAACAAAAAAACGCCGGAACTTTCCGGAACCGGAACTTCTGGTGAAACTCTAGAATATAATGAATAATAAAAAATTCTCAAGTTTAACCGAGAGATTTAGGCAAAATTTTAAATTATTTCATTAAATTTAAAGGATGTAATCAAAGCAATAGCTGAGACAGCATTCGTCACTTCTGATCTCCCAGTAATCCTATCATTCGAAAATCACTGCAGCCAAAAGCAACAAGTAGTGATGGCACAATATTGCAGGGAAATACTTGGAGATTTGTTGTTGACTGAAAGCATTGAAAATTACCCTAGTAAGGGTTTATAATATTTAAGAAAATTACAAATAGTAAAATCGAAATTACAATTTATATTTTATCTTTCCAACTTTTCAAGTTACAAATCCAAGTTTTAAAAATTTTAAATTGTAATTTTTTCTTTTTAATTTCAAGTTGGAAACCTAGGCGTTAAGAAATGCAAATTGTAAAACTAAAATTACAAGTTGTATTTTACCTTACCAACTTTGAAATTTGGAAAAATAAACTTGAAAAGAAAAATACAAATTGTAAAATCGAAATTACAATTTTATTAAAGTTTATTTAAATAATTTTACAATTATTGTAATGTTAAGAATTGTAAAATAAAATTACAAATTGTAATTTATTTTATTTTTTTTCAAGTTGGAAAGCCAGGCGTTAGTTTGCCCAGTCCAAATTTGTTGCGAAGAAAAATTTTGATTAAAAATAAAATTGAAGAGAAAAGAAATGGAGGAGGGGCTGTTTCTGATACTCCACAGAAGGAGCAATTAAATACTTTAACAACTATTAATTCTATGGATAAAATATCAGAATTAATTAAAATATCAGAATTAATTTAATTTATAGTAAGTGAAAAGGATCGCGAGGTTAGATTAGCACGTGAGGAACAAAATCAGAGATTGCTTGAAGCGTTGGAAAGTGTAGAAATGGGCTCAGATGGTGAAGAAGAAAATAGTAAAAGCATGGCTGCTGGTAAAATTAATTATATTTTCTGAATTATTTTCCGGAGCAACTATGTTTAATTAAGATATAACTTTCCGGAAGGAGTATAACTATAATTAATATATTTATTTTCCGGAATGTTTGTAGAATTAAAAAATACTTTCCTGAAGGAATATAATTATTTCCGGAACTACCTATATACATATGTAGTTATTTTTCCGGAAAGTTATTTTTTATTATTCTATTTATGATTATTTTCCGGAAAGATTATAATTATTCATTTCAGCCTCAGGAACACCTCAAGGCAACGGAAAATCTGCCATTTTAGAACAAAACCAAAAAACATTAATTGAGGGAGTTCAAACAACAGCAACAGAAGACAGTGCTGCTGCAAGTTGTATGGACGATTCTGATGGAAATAATAATTACAAAAATAATAAAAAGAGAGAAAAAGGAGGGAGCCGTTTTCAGAAGCGAAAAACTTCAGAAAATACGGGTGGGTGGCATAGACTGCCAAGATTTCATAGAAGGCACAAAGGGGAACAGGAAAAGGTACCTAATTTTTTAGAGGGGGTGAGGGGATTAAAAAATTTTTTTTTGAAGTATCACGCCTCTTCAGTCTCTCTAGATGAGATATCTGGCACCTCAGCAGGCACTTCAAGCATTAGAAATAATATTAAAACTTCAAGTGAGAGAAAAATAACGACAGCTTCAGATACTTGTTATTTAAAAAATTTTATCTAAATAAATTCCCTTAAAAATTTATAGCTGATAAGCAAAGAAAATCGCGTTTGGAGGAATTAGAAGTCCAATTACCTTCAATGGAGGAGTATGAATTAAATCATAAAATACAAAAATTGTTGAAGGTGAAAGAGAGAGAAAAATTTTTAGGAAATAAAAAAAAGTTTTTTCCAGGCTTTTGCAAAGAAAAATTGTTGTTTCCCCATCCTCCCTTCCAACTTCCCCCAATTTACTTCACAGTCTGCCAGACGGTTGTCTATGGCCTTTGGGACAGTTCCAAAGAAGAATAATAATATTGACAAACTTTCTTGGCATAAATTAATTAAAGACGTAAAGTTTACATAATGCCCCCTCCCCTCCCTCATAATCCCCATAATTTTTAGATTAACGACAGTATCGAAGCCTTAATCGAATCAGATAAAAAACAATTTGTAAAAACAATTGAATCTAGTTATGAAAATGATTTAAAAGAAATTCGAGAAACTAATGCTCGTCTTAGACTTATTGAACTTAATGGAGTTACTAAAAAGAATGCCCCAATGGAGTAATTGAATTTTTATTAAAATTTAAAAAAATAAAAATAATTTTTTAGATACAAACGTCTTTCAGATAAATATGTAAAGTGAGTAAATAAAAATAAAATTTAAAAGAAAAAATTATTTAATTTTCAAGAAGAGGAGTAGAAGAAAACCGACGTTTACTTGGAGTTAAAATGACTAAGTTGGAAGAATTGGGCGAACAGGCACATTCCCTCAAACAAAAACTTGCCAACAAAACAAATGAGAGGTTCGATGAAGTTCCACAAATTAATTCGGAATGATTTTTGTATTCATAAAAAACTCCTCAAAGCTATAAAAGATCTTACTACCCAACAACGACGCATTTTTATTTTTTATTTTTATTAGACGATATTAATGTATTAACATTATATTATTGTAAAATCTAGTTTAGTAAATAAACTTGAATTGTAATTTCAATAAAAATAAAATTACAATTGTAAAAAAATATTTTAATAATTGTAAAACAAGTTTATTTAAAACTTGCATTTTAAATAAACTTGAAACTAAAACTTATTTTGAACAAAGTTGGAACAAAGTTTTAATAAACAAACTTAAGTTCGTAAACTTAAGTTAACAGACTTAAGTTAATAAACTTAATTGCTAATTAAATAAACTTGACAATAACTAGTGGAATAAAGTTGGGGCTAATTCCTACATATTTTAAACAAACTAAGTTTATGAACTTAAATATTAAACAAACTTAAAAATATATTTTAAATAAACTTGAAAATAAACTTTAATACAAATATATAATATAATAATTGTAAACTTTAAAGTTTTAATTTAAATCCCTGTTTATATTTAAATTATCGAATCATGTTAATTAAATTTTTGTATTTTTAAAACTTTTTCTTCTCACATGTAGAATAATTCTGATTGGTTGTGTTTCCATTATTATTGTTTATTTGTTCCCCAACATTTCTTTGACCAGAAAGAAATGCTTAAATTTTAAAAAATTTTTTAATCAAAAAATGTTTTTTTCTTCTCACATTGTTCGAATCTTTCCCACAAATAACGAACAAGAAGGGAACATATTGTTGGGTCACAATTTAAGGCAATTAATCGCAACACTGTTATTCCATCATAAGAGAGACCTACCCGAACAAATTCTCTAATTTCTTTATTGCTAGGCATATTAGCTATAGAGAGGCGCTAAAAAATTTATAAAATTTCTAGAAGTTTTTTAATAAAATTCACCAATTGGGAACGAACAAAACGATCAGCGGAGGTCACACAAAAAGCTTGATATAACCAATAAAGTAAATTGAAAGTGCCTATAACTGCTAGAGCTATAAGCCAGAACCAAATAAAAAGGAAGATTTTCTCGTTTATCATATTTATCTTTAAATTTAAAAATTTTTTAATTGAAAAATAAAAAAGTATATCACCATTAGAACACATTGAAGAGAGAATTGCATTGGACGCATTTCCCTCGCCGCTTGGCGAATTTCAAAGTCACAATAGGTTACCTATAATATTTAAAACTTCTTGAATCCCTCTTAAAGTCAATTGAATTTTCTTAATTTAAATTAATACCCTTGGAAAAGCTCCAGATTTATGCCAATCCCGTCCATTCAACAAATCATTAACGACCACAAACCCCCAAAAACTTTCTTTCCCAGATTCATTTGCGTTTCCCAGAAACAAAGTTAAAACATAAAGTTGAAGAAGAATAGAGGCAAAATTAAGCAATTTTAATGCAAGGTAACAGCCTGTGACAAAACTAGCAGACGCCCAAGGCCCGTTCAATGTTTCTGGACACTCTTGAATTATTCCGCCTGGAAATGTATTTTGTAATTAAATTAAAAGTTGGGTTTAATAGATTACAATTGAGTTGTAAACCTTAAACTTGTTTTTATTACAATTGTAAAATAAGCTTGAAAAAGTTATACATTACAAATTGTAATTTAAAATTGTAAAATAAACTTGATTAATCAATTTAGTACAAAACAAGTTTAATATCTGCTATTGTAAAATAAAATTAAATAAACTTGAAAATAAACTTGTTATATTTACAACCTGTAAAATAAACCTTAAACTTGTTTGGTAATTGTAAATTTTTAAATTAAACTTGTTTATACTAGTCTTATTCATTTCTGTTACAAACCTCGTCCAGTTTTAGTCATATTCCTATATTTTGCTTGTTTCAATCCAATGGCAAGTCGTTCTTCTAAATCCTGGCTTGCTTTCATCTTTCCTTCATATTCACCTGATTCGGAAAGTTTTTTAGCACGCTGAACTAATGATCGAATGTCCAAGCCTGTTGAAAGGATTGAGATCATATTTAAAATTATCAAAAAATCCAACCGCTTTTCCAATTAAAAGCATTCCACAAAAGCTTCGGCAACATCATTAGCAAAGCTTCTCCAACCAATATAAATGGTACCCACTGATAATAGTGAATTTCGCGTCTCTCACGTTCGAGTGGACGCATCGGGAAACGCTCATCCATTCCAACAAAATAAGTATTCTGTAAAATAAACTTGGATTTGTAAACTTGGAGTTGTAAACTTGGAATAAAAACTTGATAGAAAACATCAAGTTTACAAACATTCGTTTAAATGTTTTGTTGAATAAATTTAAGTTTACAAACTTGAAACTTTTTTTTTCAAGTTTTCTAATTATTACAATCTTAAAAACATTTTTTTTGCATCATCATTATATTACTAACTTTAAAAATTTAATGGACATTCTTCTAATAATTTTTTTATTTTACTATTACCTCAACAAAGCATAAACCTTCCGCATAGCGTGACCATTGCCTTTTAAACTCAGCCGGTGCCCAACACTGAATAGGCTGCCCAACAAACTGTTTGGCTCCAACAATAAATGAAAAAGTAAAAAGAATTGAAGGGGTAATTATATAATGGAGTCTGTCAATAAAATCGTCGTCATTTCTTGGCTTAAGTTTAGCCACAATTGCTTGGATTTGCCCAAATGCTTCTCTCATATTTATTTATTTTTTTAAAAATTACTGTTAGTTAAATAATTAAAAATTAAATTTTTTATTTGAAAATTAAAAATATTTTTATATTAAAAAGGAAAATCAGTTGATTGATTGTAATAATAGATTAATCATTCGACATTAAAATAAAATAAAAAAAAGCAAATACAAAGTAAATGAAAATTAATAATGCAATTAATAAGTAAATTAAAGTTTACAAGTTTTACATTGTTAAATAAATTCAAGTTTACAGACTTAAAACTTTTTCCAAGTTTTTTAATTATTACAATCTTAAAAACTTTTTTCTTTACAACCTGAGTTTTTACAATTTGTAAAAATGTTTTACAAATTGTATTAGCCTATTAAGTTTTCCCATAAAACTTGAAGCAGGCGTACTTTTGTAATTATTACCTAAATGCGTTTGTAAAACAAGTTTAATTTTAATGTATTGAAGCTGGAGGATTTTCTATTGGTATTTTTTATATTTTACAAAAGTGAATAATAAACATATGTCTCTACTGGCTAATACAAATTTACAATAAAATAAAATCAACATTTTTTAATTAAAAATATTGCTATCTGATCATGATCAGGAAAAATTAGAAAAAAAGAGCCATGCTCGTTTAATTCTCCTTATTTTTTTACACACTTTTTACACAAAGTTAGGGGGGGGGGGCAAACTTGGCAGTACATTAAATTTGTATATAGGAAAATCAACACAATAAATAAAATGAATCTGTAGCAGATGTGTATAATGAAGGGGAAGGGAGAGATGAAAGTAGTTAGCTATACTCTTTATTCTTTTGTAAAATTTGAAAAAAATGGAAGGGTAATGAATTAATGGAAAAAATAAATTGAGAAGAAAAAAAAGATTTTATTGAATCTAAGCATTTGTCTACTAAAATTAAAAGAAAATAAAAATTTGATTTTAAATAATACAATCTTTGGGGTGGCCTTTTGTATAACAACTTGCAGCAAACTTTATTTTATCAAAATATAATAATCAAAAATATTATAAATTTTTTAAATTTTAATTAAATAATTAATTAATTTTTTAAATCCATTTTGCTTTTGTTTTCTTATCTGAACTGCTACTAGTATTACTATTATTGTTGTTGTTGTTGCTGGTACTTCCTCCACCACTGCTATGTATTAAAATTGGACGACTTGCAGTGCTTACCTAAAAATTAAATAAAAATTATTTTAAAAAATAATTAAAACAGGGGTATTTTTAATACTTGAAGCAAAAAATTTATTTTAAAAATAAAAATTGAAGCAAGCGAGATTTATTCTAAAAATATTTAGAATTAACCTGTCTAGTAAGTACAGGTTTTGATTTTGCTACAGGAGAGGAATTGTTACTTTTGGTGGGTAAATTCTGAAGCTGTTGACGTCTTGAAATGTTTGAGATTTGTTGAGAAGCCGCCCGAGTAATTAAAGGACTTGAATGGATCTTTGCTTTCTATATATCAGAATTAAATTAAAAAAGCAAAAAAAAGAAATTTAAAAAATTGGAATAAAAATGTTAATAAAATTCAGAAAAAAATTCTGAAAAAGAATTCTAAAAAAATCAGATGCATAAAATTTTACATGAGCTTGGAGTGCCTCTTTTTGTTTCTCCACATTAGAAGCAATTTTTGAACTCAAATTTCTACAACTTGTAGGCGTTAAAGTTTGATTTCTTCTAAAAGGTGTAGGTCGTTGTATTCCCGTTTCATTCTCTAAATTATTTGTTTTCACTTGGACAATTGCTGGACTATTCCCTGTCCGAACTTTCGAAATACTGCTTAAACGGGATATTCCTGAACGTTGTTGTGAAGGTTTTTGTAGGCCTTGATGTTCGTAATGGTCAATCCTTTTAGCTACTTGCCCAAATTTATTATTTTTTATTTCTTTTTTCTTTTCAATACTACTATCAGCTAAACGCTGCTTTGCATCACGAGAAAGTCTAACTAATGCTGGGGAAGTTGGGGAAATATTTTTTGAAGTTTTTTCTTCATCAACTGGAGAGATAGTTTGTGGAGACTGAGTGCTGCTTGGTTGGGGAGTAGTTGATATATTAGCTTTGTTGCTAGCTTCGTTATTGGAACTTTCCTCTTGGTTTTGTTGTTTTTGAGAAGGATTGTTTGGTGGTGGATTAGAATTGCTCTAATAATAGTAAAAAAAATTATTTTTTTTTGGAATTTTTGGGAATTTTTGGAAATAATTAGCCGTTAATTTTAATAATTAAACAAGAAAATATAAATGAGGTTCTTAGATTTAAATAGCATAATTGTTTTTGATCCCAGTTTTTAAAATTAGGACATATAAGAATAACTTAAATGACTCTTTCGAAAAATTTATTTATCCATATTTGGATGTGATACCCAACTGATTCAATTTAAAATCTCATAT